CAATGCAACCCGATCCAAAGCTGGTACCTTTTGCCCCAAGCAAATCCTAAATCTCAACACCTCTGCACCCATTTCCCCCTTACCCCCAACTTACCGTAGTGCTCTCAAGGATCCAAACTGGCATGCTGCTATGTGTGATGAATATAATGCTTTGATCAAGAATGACACATGGGAATTAGTACCCCCCTCCCCCACACAAAATATCATCACCGGTAAATGGCTTTTCAGACACAAACTTGGCCCTTCAGGTGAGTTATCCAGGTATAAGGCCCGATGGGTTGTTCGTGGCTTTAATCAGCGTTTTGGCATCGACTACGGTGAAACGTTCAGCCCCGTTATCAAGCCTGCCACTGTCCGCATCGTCCTCAGTCTTGCTCTGTCTCGCGGTTGGCCCATTCATCAGCTAGATGTCAAAAATGCTTTCCTCCATGGCCAGCTTCAGGAAACCGTGTATGCCAGTCAACCGTCTGGGTTCCAGGATGCCCAACACCCTCATCATGTCTGTAAGCTTAAAAAGGCCTTGTACGGCGTCAAGCAGGCACCTCGCTCATGGTATCACAGGTTTGCAGGTTTCATTCAGACTATCGGGTTCCAAGGGTGCAAGTCTGACACGTCCCTCTTCACTTTTTCCCATGCCACGGGCACGGCCTATCTCTTACTTTATGTAGATGACATCGTTCTCACTGCCTCTTCACCTGCACTCCTTCAGAGCATCATTCGGAAACTCAAGGCTGAGTTTGCCATGACAGACATGGGCGACTTACATTTCTTCCTAGGCATCAATGTCCATCGCACCTCCACTGGATGTTCCTCCATCAGACTCAGTTTACCCATGACATCCTCGAGCGGGCTGGGATGGTCTCCTGTCGCCCCATCTCTACACCAGTGGACACAAAGGCAAAATTATCCTCCACAGCTGGGACGGCCCTTCCTGATCCGATGTTGTACAGGTCTATTGTTGGAGCTCTGCAGTATCTCACTTTTACTCGACCTGACATCACTTATGCCGTCCAGCAACTTTGCCTTCACCTCCACGCACCTAGGGACGTGCACCTCACGGCTATGAAGCGGATCCTCCGCTACCTGCAGGGCACGGCCACCCATGGCATTCATTTGACACGGTCCACTACAGACTCTTTGCAAGCCTACTCTGATGCAGATTGGGCTGGATGTCCTGACACCAGATGCTCCACCTCTGGTTACTGCGTCTTCCTAGGCGATAACTTGGTCTCCTGGTCATCCAAGCGTCAGGCCACTACTTCCCGATCCAGTGCCGAGGCCGAGTACCGAGCTGTTGCGAATGCCGTAGCTGAGACATCGTGGATCCGCAACCTCCTCCTTGAGCTACGGCAGCCACTCCGACGTGCCACCCTTGTTTTCTGTGATAATATCAGCGCCGTCTACCTATCATCAAATCCGGTACAGCACCAGCGGACCAAGCATGTAGAGGTCGACATACACTTTGTTCGGGACAAAGTAGCACTTGGGCAGGTTCGTGTTCTTCATGTGCCCTCTTCTTCCTAGTATGCTGACATCTTCACCAAAGGCCTACCATCTCTGCTCTTCCTCGAGTTCAAATCCAACCTAGGCGTCCGACCTCCTCCACATCCGACGTAGTCGGGAGCATGCTAAATATATTAATTATATTTATTATTCTTGTAATTATTGTGTTACTATACTTGTATAGGTTTCCTAAATATGGCTCTCCTACTATGATTAGGATTGAAGCCTCTACTATATATTGATGTATTCTCTACACAATTATTCAATGAAAATATTTCTTCTACAAATGTTTTTCTGATAGAAAAAACTAAAAAGTATATGCCTGACTTATTTTCTAGTGGCTTATTCAAATAATATGTATATGTTTATAAGTATCTGTGATAGCAAGTACAAAAAAATGCTTTATATTGGGTTATATGTAAAGCTTTTCATTTGTTATTTACTTGCCAGAATTCAGAGTATACAGTAGCAGAAAAGTATATCATAAAAAATATCCTTTATTTCAATGTTTACATGTATTGTAACTTCTAATGATATCCGTAATAGGCCGGTGTTCAACATACTCACACATTTCACAAAAAGGACATGTATGCCTGGGTACTGTGTATGATTGTTGGGTTCGAAAACCATGGAACTTGGTGTGTTATACATCATGTAAGAATTGTTGTAAGAAACTAAGCCCCACGAATGGAATTCATTTTTGTGTAGTTTGTAACGTAAATGGTTCTGTTTTGAAGTACGTCTTACATTTTCTTTTAACTATTATTAAATATTTTCCATAAATAACTTCTTTAATAAAAGTCCTTTTTTGGATTAAATGAAAACGGATTCCGCTTAGGAGTCCGAGTGTTTGACAATACAGGAAATCTCGCCTTTCGGTTGTGGGATAAATATTGTACTCCCTCCGTTTCTTAAAACCCTCCTCTTTCATTTATTTTGTTTTTCTTAAAACACTTCTCATTTCTATTAAAAAACCACTTTTACCCCTACTTTTTCATACTCTACCTATCACATCATACTTTTTCACTAACAACTAAACTATCACATCTTACTTTTACCCATCACATTAAGGGCAAAATTGTAAAATCAACTACAATTTAACACTTTTTTATTTTCCTCCAAAGTCAAAAGAGGAACTCTTTTGAGAAACGGAGGTAGTATACATTTATTCGGAAAGCGAGCGGAACAATTTTTAAGGGATATTGTATGATTTTTAAAAATCACATATTTAAAATAAAACTGCATGTGCATATGTTTCATTCTCTCTAAATGCTACTACTACAAAACTGTTATTTAACAGCGCACTTTAAACATCGGAGGTATGGAAACCGCTGTCTAAACCAATATCTATTAATCGGGTGCTTCACCAAACTAGAGCCGCACGTTGAATTAATCTTTTTAAACTTTTACACATCGCATTTCACCATATTCGATGTCTAAAGCTCTACTCAAAATCTTATACTCGCGCATCCCTCTTATTTTTACGCTAGCGTCAACTCCCCCTCTTCCTGCGCATCCCTAGATTGCAATTCCAATTGTTTTTGTGGATCGATTTCTGTAAATCTTGTTGCTGTTGAATGGAAATCGTCTGGGGAACATATTTCTGAGCTCAATTTTGGTGATTTGGGGCCTTATTTTGCTGAATTGAAGAGTAACTCCCTCGCCATGACTGTTCATCTTCAAAACTACAAGTCTGATTTCCCCTTCGTTCATGCTCAATTGAAGGCCTTTTTGTTGGGAATCCTAAGGGACTTGGTAAAATCTCTCATAATTTAAAGTTAGTTTTCATTTCCATTCAAAGATTTACGAGATTGGAGCAATTTTGGGATTTCGCCATTACTGTTCACAACGAGGTGGCCATCCCAAAATTCTCAAAGTTTTAGCTTGTGGTTTCGCCAATTTTTTGATATTTTGTGGACATGATTTAGGGGCCTTTCATTATTTATAGTTGAATTTCATTTTCAATTAGTAGTGTTGAACCCTTGAATTCTTTGTTCTTTGCCATTTTTTGTGCTATTCGTTTTCTAAATAGTAAATACTGCTGTGTGCTATGGTTTTCTTTGCTTTGTGCCGCTGCATTTTGTTGTGCCTCTTTGTTTTTACTATTATGGGACACTAAAGTGAAGAAGAATACAAACAAAAATAACCACAAAACATCACTTAATTTGTCTTCAAAGAAACACCTATCAGCGAAGCTGCCAAATGCATGACTACTGCTGAAGGTATTTTTCTTTGTCTTCTTCTTCTTATTCTTCAAATTATGGCCCTATTTTGAGTTAGAGGCTGGTTTCAATTTTGTTCGATTTGGGGATTCTAATTCTTTATGTTTATTGAGCGAAAAAAGTTATTTTTGTTATAATTTATGTTTTAGGTTTTGAGTTTATGTATTAAGATTTAGTTTCTAGGGTTTCTTTAATATCTCATCCCATGTTTGAATATTCCTTTTATGTTCATTATATGTGCAAATATTTCCATGGATTCCTTTTATGTTCATTATATGTACAAATATTTCCATGGTTGAATATAAACTATAGTATTACACCTATTTTGTGACTTCTGAGCTACTCTTTTCTCAAGTTCTATGAGTTCCAACACTTTAATTTCTAATTTTTTACTTATTTACGTTGAATAATATCTCATCTTGATTGCTAATGACACTCCAATTTTCTATGGTTCAGTTGGCAGTGGTTTCTGGTTTGGATTATTATTTGCTTTTGGTTTAGTGGGCTGGTGTTTTTCAGTTGGGTACATGCTTGTTCAGTTGGCAATAGTTTTCTGGTTTTCAGTTGGCATCAGGTTTGGATTTCAGTTTGCTGTTGGTTCATTTATCTATGCAGTTGACTTATAGTTCAATCAGTTATGTTGTTGGTTTTAGGTTTTTGTAGATTGTTGGAACAGCCATGAATATGTCCTCCTCCTCCACGTCAGGTCACAAGGTAACCCGGGTGGTGAAGTCCAGGAGCCACCACAACTGCACCACAAGAATCTGCCCCTGCCCATACCTGGCCAGCGAGCAAGTTAAACACCAAACAGGCTTAAATCAGGTTTCAAACAAGAAGCATTTAGCATTTCTCCATCAAACCAACAAGCTTATTTGATTGAAACAGAATTCAAATACCAGGGGTTACTTCGAATCCATCGCTTATGTGGTATTGAAACATTGGAGTTCAAGGCTCAACAATGGTTCCATAAGTTGCTGTTCTAAGAGTACATGAAGCAAATCTCCCCATGAAGAAGCCCAATTTAGCCCAAGGGATCACCTGCCACAACAAGAGTTGTGCTCACTGCCCAAACCCATATAATGCCCCAAAACACATCCAGCAGTCCATCCATTTTGAGGCAGCCCCAACACAAGTTCAAAACAGCAGCCCCAAGTAGTAGTGTGGCTAGAGATGTTGGGCAATGAACACAAATCTCCCCATGAAGTCAAATAATCAACCAAAGGTGTTGAAGGATATAAGAGATCATGAACAGCCAGTGGGGACCCAAAGGTGTCACTGCCCATCACTGAAAATTCAGGAATTCAGAGTCTAAAAACCAGTGACCAGCTGGTTTAGACCTCAAATGCCAATTCCAGGTTATGGGTTGTGTCCTATTCATCAGCACCTAACCATTACAGCTCCATGAACAAACCAGTAGAACCTGGGCAGTCCTAGCCAAAGCAATGCAAGGAAGGCAGTGAACAACAAGGCTACAAACACCAGCAGGTTCATGATGCAATTTATCACACACAAGATCAGTTGGTTATCCTAGAATTTAGCTTCTAAATATGGTTGTTGGTTATCAATTCTTGGGTTTGGTTTCAATTTTGTTTTACCAGCTTTGGTGTATGTTTATCTAGGTTTGACTATGATATGTAGCCCTTCGTTTTGGTTTTTATTTGGGCAATGTTTTTGATGTAGGGAATAGTTTTTAGCTTTTCTCGAGGGGCTTTGGTTTGGTCCTCCCCTATGGTACTTGTTTCTCTATTTCATTTAATAAAAATACTTTCTTAAATAAATAAATCTATATATATATATATATATATATATATATATATATATATAGTTTTTATTTAGAATTTTTAAGGAATACACATCGAATAAATATGGCTTTTCACATCGTAAACTATCCGTTGTGCATGCAACCGATGTGAAAGCCTTCTTGTTTACACAGCGGTTAAACATCCGCTGTGTAACGTTTACACAGCGGATAATATATCCGATGTGTAAACTTTACACAACGGATATTTATCCGCTGTGTAAACATGAAGGCTTTCCCATCGGTTGCATGCACATCGGATATTTTGCGATGGGAAAAGTCATATTTATCCGCTGTGTAAAGTCTATTTTGTAGTAGTGTAATATTTTAATTAAATACAGGGTGATGATACTCAAATCCCAAGAGAGTTTAACTCCATCATTGACCATCAGTTTTTATTTGAACTTGAAGTGAAAAAGTCAGAAAGCACTTTTAATGAAAAAACTTTTGCTGTTCATCAGATCATTGATGCTAACAGAAAAATGAGCCAGTCTTCATATGAGAACCTTATCACACAGGTATACTTTTTGTTTATTTGGCTTATTTCATGCCGAGTACTATTTTTATTGACAAGCAAATTGTTTTATTTAGGACTCTGTAAAGAGTAAAGTAAAGAAGATCATCACTCAGACACTAGATTTAGATGCATGCGAAGATTCCACCAAAGATGATACTTCTAAGAACCATGATATTGATGCATGTTTTGATGGACCAAATTTTAATATGAAGCGAGATCTTAGAAAGGAATTTGAAGCTAAGGACCCTTGACAAAAAAAAACCCAACGTGGGTGTGAAGATTGTGAAAGACTGAATCAAGCTTGGAGAAGCCTCCAATTTAAGACTTTTTTTTTTTCAAATAGCTACTGTATTCTACATTACCTATTGTTAAAAGTATTATGCCTACTATGTTGTTAGTTACTACCTCCGTCCCAGAGTATTTGTCCACTTTTATTTTTACACATCACCCAATGCACTTCTTTAATCCATTTTATCTTGTAATTTGTATATTAAAAAATTATAGAAATTATATATTAATAATCTATATGTTAAGACAAATCAAACAAGATCACACATGACTATATTTAGGCTTACACATTGAAAAAATTTGATGAGTCAAAGTGCTTAGATGAACAGTTCCAAAAGTAAAAACTGGACGAATACCCGGGACGAAGGGAGTATTTATAAATTACATTTATTATCCATTTCATGTAATGCGAGTTTGCAGCTTCTTATTTATGAAGTAATGTTACATCCTATAGGACTTTCTTATATTTAAAATTTTATGCAGCAACTTACCTTAATCAAACGACTTAAATGAAAAAATATTTAATAGTTATGAAACAGAAACACCAATGAAAAAAACTTCTATTCTTTTTCAAATTGCCTATATTTATATATCCATACCACAACAAAAAAACAACAGTGAAATGAATGCATAAGACTCGAGTGGTAAATTTACTTTTTATGCAGACTATCATGGATTTACTGTCTACCAAATTAATATGTCGACAAAACAACGTTCCTATACCTTATTCCCATGAAAAAGGTACACTGTTATCATATGATTTCACCTACTCATGTTATAATATGTTGTGCTACATACCAGATATAACTTGTAGAACAAAAAAATCATACAAGAAAAAATAGTACTGCACAGAAGAAATACCTGATTAGGAAACAAATTTCCCAACATTTTATATATTTATTCTCATACCTCAACCACTTGTGTCATATGTACACAATTTCCTGACTTATCCTGTAAAGTGAAGAAACAAAGTTAGAGTACCATACCTTAGAATTAGGGTTGTAAACGAACCGAATCGAATTGAATACTCATGAAAAATATTCGTATTCGTTAAGATGAAGCGATATTCGAATTCAAATTTGAATTCGGTTCGAATACTTTTTATTCATATTCGGTTCGTTTAAAAATATTTATTTCATTTAGATTTTAAAATATTTCATAACCATTTGATATATATATATATATATATATATATATATATATCTGTGTGTGTGTGCGTGCGTGCGTGTGTGTGTATATATATTGTATAATTAAATTTATATTCCGAATATATTTGTCAAACTCACGAATCGAATACCCTTTATTCATATTTGTATTCGATAAGGATTCGAATATTTATTCATATTCGTATTCGTATTCGGATTTGAAAAAATCGAATACGAATCACCTCAAACGAATACGAATCACGAATCGTGTTGGGAGTTAAACACACAACACACACAAATAATCTGCGAGAAACGAGAGAAACGGAACACAAACGACACACAAGAATTTAACGTGGTTCGGTTTCCCTAATCCACGGCTGCAACAGGAGGATTTTCTTATTTCACTTGTGGTGCAAATTACAAGTACAAGTATGCAATATATATAGGAAGAGTGCATCTAGGGTTTCGTAACATGGGCCGGGCCAAAAGTAAAGCCCAAGCCTCCACAAACCCAACATTCTCCCACTTGGAGGCTTGATAGTCATCAACTGCCATTCACCACGATTGCCTGTACATCGAGTAATCTTTCTCAGCTCTCCTGTTACAGCGGCCTTATCATCAGACAACTGAAAGGCCCGTTGAAGCTCTCCCAAGCTCTAACACATCAGTCACGACAAAATCTGTCCCTGACTCGTCCTCGGTCCCTACCGGCTCCCACTGCATATGCACACTGCCAGATCCTAGAACATCCTGAGAACAAACACTCTCCGTACTCAGCAAGAAATTTTCTGGAGATGTTCCAACAGCTGGAATACTGGTTCTCCTGACCCACTGTCTTCTAGGCAACTTGGCTGAAGCGCCTCTTGAGCTCCCACTGCCACAAATACCTCTGACTGGCTCCCTTGAACCTTTCCACGCTCGTTCATCCTGAGTCTGACCTGTGGCTCTAGGTTTCTCTCTTGCATAGACAACCTTATTCTGCCCACGAGACTCTGTGAACCGGACTTTGTTTCTCTTCTGAACTGGGACGCTCACTCCCTCAGATGGTAACTCGACCATGTACAGCGAACCACTCTTCCTTCCGCGGGCCATGACAAGATTTCCCTTTACGACCTTCCACTGCCCATCTCTGAACTTCACCTCGTGTCCCTGTTCGTCCAACTGCCTGACAGAAATCAAACTTTTCTTCAAGGCTGGAACGACTCTGACATCCTTCAAAGTCCAGAAACCGACTGGGGTCTTCAGCACTATGTCACCCATGCCCGTCACCTCAAGAGCTCTGTCGTCTGCTAGTCGTACCTTTCCAAAGTCTGCAATAACCAGCATCTGCAATGCTTCACCGCTGTGGGTGGCATGAAATGAAGCACCAGAATCCATGACCCAGGAATCCACATTGCTTTCCTCACAGCAAGTCAGAGTGACTTCCTCGTCACTTGCAGAACCTTCAGCAATGTTCACTTTCTTGTCATTCGGGCATTGATTCCTAAAATGCCCCACCTCCTTGCACTTCCAGCACGTTACACCTGAGCTGTCGCGAGTCTTCGACTGACTCCTTCGTCTGTTCCCGCTCCCACTACCTCTGCTATTTCTTCTGCCTCTACCAACATGAAGCAATTCACCAGATGACTCCCCTGAACTCTTTCTTCTGACATCCTCGCCAAGAACGAGATCTCGAATCTGATCAAAGGTGAATCCATCAGGTCCCACTGAACCGGTAACCGCTGTAACCGTTCCGGACCAACTATCAGGCAAAGACGATAGCAGTAGCAAAGCTTGAACTTCATCATCGAACTTAATGCCCACTGACGCAAGTCTGGTTAAGATCGAATTCAGCTTGTTGATATGCTCGGTAACTGAAGTACTTTCTTTCATCCTTGTGTTCACCAGCTCTCTAATCAGAAACACTTTATTCGCTGCAGATGGCTTCTCGTACATGTTAGACAGCGCGTCCATAATTCCCTTCGCTGTCTTCTCCTTCAGAATGTTGAAGGCAACATTCTTGGTCAACGAGAGACGGATCACGGACATTGCTTTTCGATCCAAACCTGCCCAATCTGCATCCGACATCTTTTCTGGCTTGTCACCCAATACCACGTCCAAATCTTTCTGAACCAGCAAATCTTCTATTTGCATCTTCCACCAACTGAAATCTGTACCATCGAACTTCTCAATTCGAAACTTCCCATCTTCTGCCATCTCAAACGATTAGACAAGATACCCGGTACAACTGATTTCAGATCTTGGTAATCCCGTCAGAAAAAAAATAGGAACAAGACCACTTCTCACCAATTTCAAATCAAATAGGCCCAAACCTCTCCAAATAAAGCCCAACCAAACTAAAAAAACAAGAAAAAGAAAGGATGGGGTGACCAAATGAAACTCAATTTGGCCCACTGCCCGGGTCCACCACTCCTTTTCTTATTTTTTTCTTTCTTCGGCCCAACACCTTGCACACAACCTTTTTTGAGTTTTTTCCCTCGTACGAACTTTTCTTCGATCAACCTGCTTTTCTTCTTCGCAGGTAGGCGGCGCTACAGCAACTGGGTTGGCGGCTCTGCACAATCTCGGATGGACGGTTCCCGACGGCGGCGGCACCACAGGTAGACGACGGCGGCTGAGCGACCTGAAACGGCGCAGCTTCGATATGGCGATGCGGCTCCTCCACGCGGCGGCGGCTCCTTCTGCCGCTGATCCTGCGTGCGGCGGTCTATACGCAAACGGCGGCGGAGATCTGGGAGCTCGACGGCGGCAACACGCAGCAGCGACGTCAGCGATCTTCCTCGCTGCGGTTCAAGACCCAGCGGCGAACTCGACGGCGACTGGGTCAGCGGCGATTCTCAGCGGCTTCCCTTATGCTCCCTCAGCCCTCCGGCGACTGCGCGATCCCAAAAACCCTAGGTGACAACTCTCAATTCGTGCTCGTGTTGAACAAGGCTCTGATACCACTTGTTACTTGTTGGGAATTAAACACACAACACACACAAATAATCTGCGAGAAACGAGAGAAACGGAACACAAATGACACACAAGAATTTAACGTGGTTCGGTTTTCCTAATCCACGGCTGCAACAGGAGGATTTTCTTATTTCACTTGTGGTGCAAATTACAAGTACAAGTATGCAATATATATAGGAAGAGTGCATCTAGGGTTTCGTAACATGGGCCGGGCCAAAAGTCAAGCCCAAGCCTCCACAAACCCAACAAATCGAACAAAAAATATTCGATTCATTTACAACCCTACTTAGAATAGTGGCTGATTAGATAACAAATATTCAGAAAAATTTAACTGATACTAAAAATGAATGCATAGTATTTGTCAAATGACCCCTTTGCATGAAATCCATAAACATCTTACAAAAAAATGTATATAGAATCATACTCTTACCTATATTTAAATGTTACTGGTAGTATATGTTCAGAATATAAATGTGGTTTAAAAAATTCAATAAGGCTTATATACGTCTTAACCTTAAAGAGGTTGACTCAGCTTTAATGGAATTATTGATTGCATTCTGTTTTGTAAAATAAAAAAAGAAGCACCTAAACGAATGTGTTAATACAACCACTATCATGGCAATGTTCAGTTTTTTAAAGAAATGAAAAAATAAGGAAATAACTAAGGCCCCGTTTGGTACATGAAATTCAAACTATGAAATTGGAATTGAAGACTTCAATTCCAATTCTGGTGTCTGATAACACAAAAATTAGGTGAATTTGGAATTGATAGTGCAAAAAATGAATTAGAATTGGGAGAATTCAATTCTATGAAGTTGAATCTCATGGAATTTCAATTCCAATTCAATTCTAATTCCGTCTTTTCCTTATACCAAACGGACCCTAAGAGAAACTTGTGAGTCCAATTATTGTTGTTAAAAATGTCCATAACATGACAGGACTTTAAAAAACTCAATATTCCTAATATAATTTTGCTACTTAAGGGCTTAAATGACTTGTTAGGGAATTATGAAAATAAGAAACCATCCAACTTTCATATACAAAAAACATATTCTGAAAATAGTGACAAAATTTAAAAAAATTGCTCATTCAATTTAAAAATATGCCATGAAACCTGTCTCGTCATCTTAAACAATTGTGAACACTAAAAGTATACATAACTTAGGACTCACAATTTTGTCACCTTTGAAAATAAGCTGTAGATCCATCTCGGATTTCCTCCAAAATGTGCGATCTAACTTGGTATGCCATATTTGGCCGTAGATTTTTTCGATTCCGCCGTGCGTGTGGTATGACTCGAAACGATTGAGATTTTTCCCATCTTCTCTCTGTCAGAATGAGTTCTTTGTGCGTAGGTCAGTTGGAATTGCAGCTAATACACATTCTTATATGACAACACGTGGCAATGATTTAGCATTAGCCAAATAATAAAATGATGTAAAAATTAGTAATGATATATGTAACAAAAAATAAAGAGAAATTTACTTATATATGACTAAAACATAATGACTGTCCCAATATAGGATCATATGTTTTTATTTTCCAATGTAGGATTTTTGGTCATTATGAGTTAGTCATTATTCAAGTAAATGTCCATCATTTCTAGACATTATTCTTCTTACTAGTCATTATTAAGTCCTATTTAGGGAATAAAAAAGTTTAAGTCATACATTGAGAAATGACTTATATTTTAGTCCCATTTAGTGCAAATTTCACAAAAATAAACTAATTTTTATTGAATATTTTTATAGAAAATAAAAAAGTACATATTCAGAAAAAAATCTTTAAATTTAGAAATATTTATAAAATAATTATTAAATATTGTGGACAAAGATTTGATAGATATTCCAATGTGGTTGGATGATAGATTCCCAAGCGTAACAAAAATAAATATAGATGACTGTAAGTCATTTACATTTTTATACTATTAAAAACACTATAATAATAATAATAATAAAAATAAAAATAATAATAATAATAATAATAATAATAATAATAATAATAATAATAATGTGGTTGGATGATAGATTTGATTTGATCTTATTGGATTTGACTTTGATTTATTCCGATTATGGGAGTTTTTAGTTGTGTTCTTGGGTTGAAGGATAGAATTGGGGGGAACCCAGTGGGACATGATGAGATAAAGGATTTCCAAGATTGTATGGATTGGTTTGGTTTAAAGGAAATGCCCATAGGGGGAGCCTACTATACTTGGTCTAATAGGTAGGGACAAGGTAGAAAAATTTACTCAAGAATTGATATAGTATTTGTAATACTGACTATATGATTAAGCACAAATCTAAACTCCTTGTTAAGGAGGAGGGCCTTTCACATCACTTGCATCTGTTATTTTTTCAAGGAAATAGTAGAAATAATAAGAGCTGGGCTTTAGATCCCGTGTTTCCAGACATTGTTAAAAGGGTATGGGATAAAGAAATATCAGGAAGACCTATGTTTCAATTATGTTGCAAGTTGAAGGAGCTGAAGGGATAACTAAAAGTGTTGTATAGAAATAAGTTTGGGGGGACTTTTCAGGATATTAATTTTATTAGAGCTAGATTACATAGTACCCAAGCTGAATTGAAAATGGCTCTCATGAATGAAAAGTTGCTCAAAGAAGAAAGCAATATGATTCACCACCTGGAAGTAGCTATGAGGGCTTCTCTTATGATGATGAGTCAGATGTATAAGAAGGGTTGGATTATCGAAGGGGATTTAAACTCTAAATTGTTCTTTTCCTCGTTGAGGAGAAGAAGACTTCAAAACCAGGTCCTCAGCGTTAGAAATAAGGAAGGCCAATTGGTTGAAAAGGAGGAAAAGGTTGCAGCAGTCATGTTGGAATTTTATGAAGCATTACTAACCTTCAGCTCGGAGTTCTACCTCTCAGGTATTTGGGGAGCCCTATATCTGCAGTTAGAATTGGGGGCAAAGATTGTGATAGGTTAGTGGCCAACATAACTGATAGAATCACATTCTGGGCTACTAAACATATTTTTTATGCAGGGAAATGTAGAGTTATTAGAAGTATACTTTTTGGTATTATGATATTTTGGTGGAAGTTATTTGTTATCCCAACAAAGGTGATGAGGAAGGTGTAGAGTGTATGTAGGAATTTCTTGTGTGGAGCTACTCCTAGTTATGCTAAGAGACCTTTGGTAAACTTGGATGAGGTTTGTATGCCCCAATCTGCTTAGGGACTGGGCCTTAGAAATATGGTGCATTAGAATAGGGCATATGTCCATAATTTGGGATCGATAGACTGAACTTTAATTTTTAGTAGTCCGTAAATTTCAGTGGAAATCAACAATAGCGGATATGTTTTTATCCGCTGGCTAAAGCATTCCGAAAAAATTAGATCCTCAATTCTTTTTTTGTACCCGCGCCTTGTTTACCCCCAAAGCAAAAGACATATCCGCTGTATAAAACGCGCTATTAAATACTCATTCTGTAGTAGTGAACTTTTTTTCAAAATGTTTTAAAAGTCAAATTCTTTTGTATTTGAAATAAAAAATTAATGAAATAAAAAAGAAAAGAAATCTCCCTAAATAAGAGTAAACAAGTATGAAAAATCCAAAATAGGAATCTTGAGTCTTTTAAGGCCAAAATAATACTATCATTGCAAAATGATGTAAGAGTACGCATTGACAGTGTGATCAGTCAACCATCGGTGATTCACAGCAACACTTTGGTGGCCAGCGGTGATGAATAACAGTGTGACATTGATAGTATGACAATTGCAGTGTGATCATTTGGTGAGTCTGACAGTGTAAAAATGATAATATAAAACTCTTATTTTGGTCTTAAAAGACTTAAGATTTCTATTTTGAAATTTTAATTTTTTTTTATTCTTATCAAGGGAGTTCTTCCTAAAAAGAATTGCCATTCAATTGTTTGTCTCTAATTAAATATTTTCTTTTTTTCTTTGGTCCAAAAAAGTCCTTATTGGTTCATTTTCATAAAACAAAAATCAATGAAGCTCATTTCCCATTCTATTCATTTTTTTCTTTTTTTATTATTTTTTGTTTCTCTTTTTTATTAGTTAAACTAATTTTATAACGTTTCTTATTTTTGTCAAAAATAAAAGAAAAAAGAATTGAAAATAAAATGAAGAAAAAGAAAAGTATATGTAAGAAATTTGTTGGGCAATGGTGCAAAATAAGATCTTATTTCGTAATCTATGTTAAGTTTTGATTTCAAAAATAAAGATTTCTTATTTTTTAAAATTAAAAAAACTATTTTCCAAAAACAACTTACATACATTTGTGAAAAACAAGAGAAAAAAGAAAAACAGTTAAGAAAAATGTGTGGGGACGTTGGTGTCCATTTCTAAAACTATAGGAGTGGAAAACCTATTCACATAAGATTTGAAGTATAAACGTTAATTTGAAAATAAAAATATTTAATTTAAGGTAAATGAAGTATATGTTATTTTTTATTTTTATTTTTAAAAACTAAAAAAATTAGTTTCTAAAAAAAACTTACAGACATTTATGACAAATAAGAGAGAGAAAACAATTAAGAAAAAGGTGTGGGGGTGTTGTTGTCCATTTCTAAAACCATAGTAGTGACAAAGCTATTCACCTAAGATTTGAAATATATATTTGTTTCGAGGGCATTGGTGTATAAATAAAAAAAATGAGGGTCAACAACATAAGTTTTGAAACCAAGTAGGGGTAATTCATTTATCAAACCACAGAGATTATTAGTGGAATAAACTTATAAAAAATTTAGAAAAAAAACTAAGAATATACTAAGTTTGTACCCCAACTTACACATCAAATGTATTACAGATAGATATAGACAATAATTATCTATGTACTGTATTGATACTATACTTAGTTAAGTTGTGGAAGACAAAGGCTAGAAAGGGTAGTTCCTTTGAGTGTTTATGCATGTTGTTGTCTTCTTGTTCTATATTGACCATTTAAGTGGTGTGCAATACCCAAACTCTCAACCTGAGCCTTGTTGAAATTTTTCCAAAAATGACCGTTTTAGTCTAGTTGTTTGACTTTGATTTAGGATGTTTAGTTGTCTTTCTAGGATCGCGGGCGTTACCAATTCTTCTAAAACCAATTGGTGTTAGACGAGGCGCATACCTTAGCCTTATAGTGCATTGAACATACAAGAGCCCATGACATTCGATTGTGACTTGGGCCACATTGCCTTTGCCATGAGATAATTGATGCACACATGACCAATAATCTTCCCCTCAGCGATTTCTTTGTAGGGAATCGAACTTGTGACCTTGGCTCCGATACCACTTGTAAAAACTCAGGTGCTACCAACTCTTCTAAAACCAATTAGTCTTAGAAAATGCATATACCCTATCTTTATAGTGCATTCAGCACACCAGCACCAACGACTTTGCCCAAATAACCTCTATCACGGGACAATTAATTCACACATGGCCAACAATAATGACGAATGCCCTTAAAACCAACCTTTAGGGTGGAGTAAGTAGGTCCTCACCCAATCTATTCTTTTTAGCTGTCTTTTGAAACACTTAAGCTTGTGAGTATGTGGAAAATACCTTATGACTTGGAATTGGTTGGGCGGAACCTCTGCTCCCTTATGCATAGATCCTAACTAGGAAAAAAAGTGTGTATGGAGCAAAGTCCAATCGAAAGGGTGAACCCCTTAAGTGGGCCGTATCAATTCCCATAACACTCCACATATTTTCATACTTGAGTATCTCTTTTCATGAAAGAGGATTCCATCATAAGACCTGCCCAGCTACCAAAATTTCAAAACATTTATATTTTTTGAGTGGTTGTGACAATGTGTGTTATATTATCATAAATAAGTTTTTTTCTCTCGGAGGGAGGTCCACGGGGTATCTTGAGTGAAGTCCCAGGCTATTTAGAATGGGCCTAAGGTAGCTTGACCAAAAACTTGTTACATTGGAGTTAGAGAATTGTAGCTTGAGGGCCTAAAGGAGTAGTTTTGAATTGGTAAGGAAAATTGAGAATTCTAATTTCATTCATAAGGGTTGCGAGATAACATTCTCATAAAAGGGAAACTGACCATTCTAGGATCAAGGAAACAACCATCATCTTACAAATACCAAACCATGGTTTTTAAAGCAAGTTGAATTGGGAAGGTGGGAAGTTTGCATTAGGTCAATTGGCTTTTTTAGGCCAAGAACGGTGAGGAGAACAAATGTGCAAAAGTGAGAAGTTGTGCTTTCTAAACTTGTTCTATCTTACAACTTGGCCGAGAGCGGCCAGGAAATAAGTGTGGGAGATTTTGTTAGAATTATTTTAAGTCCTATTTCTCCTTAAGTTTATTAAACATTTTGGACTTTATTGGTGTCAATTTGGTTTGATTTAAGACCAATTGTGAACAACGATCATTTTTTGGTTGAATCTTTATTTTGGATCAATTTTGGAGTTTTTAGTGTTAAAATTATAGAATTGGGCCAATCTTATGCCCAGGCCCAAGTTAGCTCGTCTAGTTTAAGAAAAGAGGTCTGGCTGATTCCATTCGGTTTAAGAGAACGAAAGAGAAAGAGAGAGGGAGGAGAGGCGAGTCTAGATTTATTCAGAGACAAAAAAACGTCGGTAACTCATCGTTCTCCGACGAGTTAGACCTCGCAATCGTTATCACCCGACGCACAATCACCTTGCGATCCTCCTGATCATGCGCGTAAGCCAATCAGATGAATCATCATGTTCGTAGGACTTGATCCTCGAACGTTGTCTCAAGGTATATTTGTGTTTTAATTCTAAATCATTGTTTCAAATCAAGGATTCTTCTGTATTCTGTTGATATCTCAAGTTACTAGTTTATTTTTGTTGATATTCGAATTTCCATTTTAACTAGATTGCAGTTGCATGTCAGAGCCAATCCGAGTCTTAATGTGTTGTTAGGACTAGATTTTCTTATGATTATGTGTACATTGTGTGAATTGAAGACCTCAAACATGCCCCGAGAGTAATTCCTTCCTTGTTTGGTGGAAATGGGAATTCAGTCCTGAGGCATGTGAAAACTTAGGCTTGTGAAAACTTAAGTCCTGATGATCTGTTGTCTTTATTAAATGTTGTTAGGCTCATCCTAAAGTAGTGGATATATAGATAGGTTTTTATGTAATGCTCATCAATCATAGGGATTACCTCAATGATGAAAGAAATCAGCCTCATGCTGAGAGGGCTGAGAATCCACATTTGTTCAAATGTTTGTCTCAATTTTGAATCTGAATCTTGTGCATGATCTGAGTGATTGATTCCAATTCTGCAAAACAAGTTTTTTCATCCATAGTTGATACTCAAGAAACTCTGCATGTTTTTTACTCTCTAATCTACGCTCTGAATTTTTCTTCTCATAAAATCTGAAGAAATGTTTACTTACATCATTTAGTGTTATGATTACTTGAACACCCCCCCCCCCTCCCCCCTCCCCCGCCTGAGTGTGTGTATTTGTGGAGGCTTAATGGTGAACCAAATAGAAGACAAGTCTCCCTGTGGAAGAATGACCTTACTTGCCACTTTGCTACCATTTTGTAAGTGAGTAGTGACTTGTAATTTAGGTTAATTTGTTGACACTTGAGTAAGCAATAATGATCGTACAGATCAAACCTGACACACTGGGTGAGAGAGGGAATGCTTGCTAATATACATAGTATGACCTTAACATTACTCATAATACAACATTACCAGGCGTCTCATAGGCTCCCATCTCTTGCAAAGTAGGAAGGATGGGGGGTTAAGTATACACAATCTGACCTTTATGTTAAAACATAGAACGACTGTTTCCCAATGATCAATAATCAGTGTCAAAAGTTGTTTTTACTAAGTGTTACTCTACTATCAAAAGAAGCATAACTAGAGTTTAAAAACCATTTTTCTTTATTCAATTTTACTCTAAAACTACGTAGTAAACTATTGCAGTACAAATAACTTATGCCAAATGCATACATAGAAGCCACACCTCGAAAAAAAACTAAAGTAAATGCTATTATTAGATCAAATCATAAATGAAATTTCACACATGTCAAAAAGCTGTCACTTCTCTTTGTAGATTTGAACATTTTCCATCCAAGATCTTCACTCTCCAACTTTTCTCTATCTAATCTCTTGCAACAATCCTGAACTTACCAGTTTGTTGTTGCTGCAAACATGCAAAACAGAAAGCACATTACTCTCAAATAAATCAAGAAAAAGCAAAAGTTGGTAAATATCAGGAAGCAAAAGATGAAACCTTTTTCCACAAATCAGTATGGGCTCTGCAGAATCCAGCAACTATGGCACCCTTAGTTCGTCCTTGGTTATACTCAATGCACAAATCTTGTTTTAAGCCACAAGTTACATGAAAGGCCAATGGGCAATTGAGCTCAGAGCAATCAAGAGCACACCCTTTTCTTGACTTGCACACATAGCACTTGTTATCCCATCTCCAATCAGGCACTTTACTGCAATCAATCCCTTCACGGCCATCCGGGTCGGTGAAGAACACCTCCGGGACAAAGAGGGCACAGACAAGGTGAGCCCATTTTCCATCGCTGGTCGGCTTGAGAGCGCCCCCAGAAGCCGGACAGAGGGAGCAAGAAATCGGTTTTTCAGGTTTTTCCAGACATTGAGAGCAAAACCAATCACCTTCTGGCACACCCTTAGTTGAGAAGGGATGGCCGTAGCAGGTGGTGTGGACCATTAGATCGCAACCGTCACAGATAACTATGGGATCTGATGGGTCACCATCAGTGCTTCCGCATATGGCACACGCAATCCCATCGTCATCTTCCATACCTTGGTCAGGAATTGCAGACTTGCCCGGTTCTTGATTTTGTGAAAAGTACACTTCTTTTGATGACCTCTTCTCTGAAATCTCATCCTCGATTACTGGGTTGTACTGGACATTGAGATCCAGTGGCTGGATTGCCCAGACTCTTTTCTTGGCCGGAAGGCAACAGGTGGTGGAAGGAAGATAATCGGGCTGCAGTGCTTTCCCTAATTTTCTCTTTTTTGCAGGAAGATTTGAGGAATCGGGGCCATTTTCTTGGTGTTTTTGCATCAGAATGAACCTCTTGAGAGGTGGCAATCCTTGAAGCTTGCCGGCCATTTTTTCACTGTTGAAATGCAGAGATCGGGGAGGGGAGAGAGGCGATGGTAGATTTGATTTGAGGTCTGGATGAGATAAAGAACATAGATTATAGAGGGCTATTTTGAATTGAAATTCGAAATTTCTGTGGGGGGGGGGACGCGGGAAAGACATTTTTGGGAATTTGGTTGGTAGGCAGCGCAGCCATGGAAGGAGGGAGGGAGAAGGAATGAATTGGGAGAAATTTCGGAATCCGTTCCATTTGTAGCGGGAAAGTATTTGGCTATTTTAACGGAAATTAGGCCGGGTCATTTTTATATGGAAAAATTTTCTGAGTCCTCTTTGGCTAAAAGCACAAAACCACTAAAATCAAATTTGATAAACTTTGATCTTTAGTGAAATACTCTCTCCGTCCGTAAAAAAACTTCCTACTTTCCTTTTTCATCCGTCCACAAATAAACTTCTCATTTCCATTTTAGGCAAGTTTTTATGTGTAAAAGGTCTTCTTTACCCTTAACTCCCCTTCTTCCTCATTTCTTTTTCTTTCTTTCTCCGGTCTTCTTTTCCTTTCATTTTTTCTTTCTTTCTTATTCCTTCTTCGGTTCTTCCTCTAACTCTTCTTCAGATTCTTTTTTTTCTTCTTCCACCTTTTTCTTCATCATTTTTTCTTTCTTATTCCTTCTTCCTCTACTTCTTCTTCAGATTCTTTTTCTTTCTTCTTCCATTTTTTTTCTTTCATTTTTTTCTTTCATCTTCCTTCTTCCTCTACTTCTTACGATTTCTTTTTCTTCCTTCTTTTTTCTTATTCCTTCTCCCCCATTGAGCGTGACAATATTGGACTGTATCTTCGTCGGAGTTAGATGGTCACCCCCCACTACTAGATCTGACCAGATCTAGATCTACACGAAAGTGACAACTTTTACTCAGATCTACGATGGGCAGTCCAAAAATAGATCTCTGCGTTGGGATGGCAGGAGGTTGCGGGTCTGCGATGGCGACGGTGGAAGGGGGTTGCGATGGCGGGAGGTTGCGGGTCTGCGACGGAGACAGTGGAAGGGGGTTGCGATAGCGGGAAGTTGCGGGTCTGCGATGGCGACGGTGGGAGGGGGGTTGCGATGGTGGGGGCAGGTCTGCAACAGTGACAGTGGGAAGTTGGGGAGGGGAGGGACGGTGGAGAGAGGCAATAGGGCTAAGGGGTATAATGGTAAAGTCAACACAATTTTCATCTCACATAAATTTGCGTGCCCGGTCAAACCGGGAAGTTCTTTTTTGGACGGAGGGAGTAAAAAGTGTATGGTATATTTGGATATAAGTACTTTATTAGATTTTTCTTGTTTTAAACTTTCAACATTTTATTTCATTATATAATTTTTTTTGAATAATATTGACCAATGTTCTGAAAATCAAACCAGACATGAACTCGGACGAGGTACTGGTTCAAGGGTTGACCGGTCGAATCGGTCAACTGGAAGTCAACGACTCGGTCAACGATGTTTATACTAATAAAGGGCCTGTTTGAGAATGATATAAGAGAGCTATTTACGGGTAGTGTTTAGCGTTAGCGTTTTCAAAATCATCTGCACCGTTGAAATGTTATCCAAAACGTTAACACTAATCTCTAACATTATTCCCCAACAGGTCCAAAGTTTTATATTAGATATTTTTAGTAAAAAAAAATATTTTAATTTCTTCATTTATTTTTCTATCTAGTTTTAATATCATTGTGCATATATTATTTCATAAATTCTATATTTTATTTTATAATTTTTATTATTATTCAAAACTACTAATGAATGTCTAATAAATTGTTAATAATAAGGCTATACTCATATTTTTAAAAAGTAAAGACTAAATAATATATTCTTGTATGCAATTGACATTTTAAACTTTATATTTATTTGAATAAAATGATTGAAAAAATAAAAAATGTAACATATTAAATTATAACTAGTCAATATTACTTGATTTTTAAATTAAAAATAGAAATAATTTTTCAAGTATAGATTATATGAAGTATATTTATTTTTGAATTAAATTTAAATAATTCTCAATTTTTGGAACTATTTTAAAAGTTCATAAAGTGAGTAAGATGTACAATGCAAAAAAAACTTGCGCGCTACGGTTTGTAGTTAATTCGTTTTGTATGCAACATGTGTAAAACAATAAATATATAATATTGATGCTTATACATTACCATAAAAAAGTGTTTGGCTCACTTGGCTTACCACTACTAGGGTAGATAGGATGATGTTGGGTTCAAACCCCACTGGCATTTTAAATTTTACAATAAAATTTAATAAAAATTAGGTTGACTCAGGTCACTTGGTTTTTCGGGTTTGCCGGGTTTGGACGGGTCAATCACAAAACAGGTTTATCTATTAAACTAAACTAGATTCATGTCAGGATCATAGTCCAACCGCTTAGACCGGCCGGTTCAATTCGGTCCAAAATATTTATATTGACCATTATAATGTAATATTTGTTCATATTATTCTCAACCTAATATTATGCACAAAGAGCTGATGCTTCAACTTTCGTTGGGGCTTGAACTGTGGTGAACTTCTCCATTATTCTCAACATTAAAATTTTACAATAAAATTTAATAAAAATTAGGTTTTTGCCCAAATGTGTGAACTGGTCGAATCGACTCGGGTCACCCGGTTTTCCGGGTCCGCCAGGTTTGGGCGGGTCAATCACAAAACAGGTTTATCTATTAAACTGGACTAGATTCATGTAAGGATCACGGTCCAACCGGTTAGACCGGTCAGCTCGATCCGGTCCAAAATATTGCTATTGACCATTATAATGTAATATTTATTCATACTATTCTCAACTTAATGAGGTGTACAAAGAGTTAATGCTTAAACTTTTGCTGGTGCTTGAACTTTGGTGAACTTCTCCATTAATCCTAGAGAGTGAGCTTGCTATCACTCAAATCAGTAGGGGAGAAGTTCACTTCATTATATTAATATGTAATATAAAATGAGAATAATTAATGCTCAAAGTTTGCCCAATTTGACTCGAAAATTTCAAACTAGAAAAGTACACTATGACGGAGATAGTATGTCTTTTAAGATTAGCTTGCATTTAAATTCTATCTTTTCTATTTTTCAAGATTAAGGTACATGATTTTTTAAAAAACATGTCACTTTCCAGAGAGTATAGGATTAAAGAAGGCTATAATTGGCAAAGAAAGGAAGCTCAGGGAGGTGGAATGGTCTAAGTGGGTGTGGAACAAATTTATCCCACCTAAGGCCAGTTTCATTCTTTGGCTAGCTATGCAAAATAGACTACTTACTAAAGACAGAATCCAAGTTTGGAAGAATATTCAAACTACTTGTAGGATGTGTGATATGGATGCAGAAATGATAGACAACTTGTTTTGCCTTTGTACGTTTGCGAAGAGGATATATTGTGATATTGAGACCAGGTTTGGAATCAAAATATTTGGAGAAACCCTAATACAAACGGGAAGAAAGCTTATGCAGGGCGATAGAAGGGGAAGCTTGAAGGTGGTAGCAATCTGGGCTGTTGCAGTTTATATGATATGGAGGGCTCGGAACAGAGTTGAGAAATGGAAAAATGCTGCTCCTACACAGGTTGAAGACAACATTTTTTCACTGTTAATAGTTTTTTGATGTATAAGAATAGCAAGGGACAGTAGTTTTTTGCCTATTTGTTTGCACTTTTGATTGCTTTTTTTTATTATATTGAAGGGGGATTTCTGTTAAAAAAAAAGTCTAACGTGGACCACATGTAGGCCTTGTTTGAAAACATCATTTTCGATTAGTGTTAGCATTTTAGATAAAATAATAATGATGTAGATTATTTCTGAAAGTGCTAACGCTAAAGACTTTCGTCAGATAGCTTTTTCAAAAGGTTAACGCTAATCTCTATCGTTGATGCCAAACGGGGCCGTAGACAATACCAAAGTATAATTATCCGTGAACAAGACAATGACGTTTAATGCCCCAATTTAAGAAATGTCGGAAATGTTTAATCATCTATTACATTTTTTATTTTTTTTGGTAAAAGGTATAACAATTATCTAGAATTTAAATTTAGTTTTGAAGGTATACTATCACCATACTGTGTTTTTTTCATTAGTTTAGATACTTTTTTTTTGTAGTATTTGTACTAACTTTTGGTCAATTATAAGCTACACAAGATATGAAATTTTATCACAAGTATACTCGATACTAGGACCCAATGAGTCTAAACCTATTACACAACATCAAGACCCGTTGTATAAAAGGATACGAGTGGGGAGCAAATTTTTTTGAATGGGTACAAGTATAGAACACCATAGTTTGGTCCAAAATCGGCTAATTCACAGACCTAGATCAGATGAAGATTTGTTAACCTGTTTTCATTTAGTCTTATTCACTTTCAGTCTTGAAATCTGCAAACCAACTTCTTATCCCATGATACATAGACAAAAAATTAGTGATCCCTTTATTTGTCCATCAACTTTGTGAATGTATTGACAAGTCTAATTGTTTTTAACACTTGCAACAGCAGCTTAACAAATGTTAACTAGTCGTCTTGATTTCGCCCTAGGTTAATATGTCTTCAAATCCACCCCATTTTCTTCCGCTTATTTTTTCTACTTATTATTTATCCTTATTGGAAGAAAACGAGATCAAATAAAAAACCGAAACTTACGCTATAATCAATTCAAATTTGAAATGGTTCATATCTTAACCAATTAGATCAAGTAAAAAGAATAGAGTCTAAAATCCTGATCCAAGGTCTTGTCAACTCACTAGTTGTGCAACTAATTTTTGCATATTCTTGGATAAATCTTCTCTTGGAAACAATCTCTCTACTCTCAAGTAAGGATATGAATACACACACATCCTCATAGACTCTAGTTTTGTGGAATTGTACCGGATTTGTTTTTGGATAAATCTTTGGTCTCACAAAAGAGTAGAAGGCAAAGAAACAACTGTTCCTCACTGACCTCAAAATACCATTGTATGGGCCTAATGCTTGTCACAAATAGAAGCTGCTTCAAGTAAGGGGCTGTTTGTTTCAGCCTCTTAATGATTCAGATGTCTGAATGGTTCAGCAGTTAATGGTTTTTTGTTTCGTGAGCAAATGTCTGAATGGTTCAGACATTTTCCTCTGAATAATTAAGTATTATACAGAGTCTGAATGGTTAAGACCTTTTATCTCAATTGATCAGACATTTGCCTCTGAATAGTTAAGCAATATACTAGCTCTTAATAGTTCAGACCTCTTACTGGTTTAGTACTTACCTATTCAGAAGTTGCCAAACAGCCCCTAAGTATCGCACTAGCAAAAAAAGGCTGACTTCATTTGCAAACTTTTTGGATTAAAACAAAGTCAACAAAACATTGAAAGTGAGCAATCATCAATATCAATATCAATACTTTATTTAAAAACAGGGGAAATATTGACCCCATTTTTCCGCTCATTGACTTTGGATTATATATGACAAGAAGACCAGGCAAAACTGACCCGGACCCAATAACTCGAATCGAATAATTCGAAACCAAACCTGAATTTACCCGAAAACTAAAGAACTGAAATAGAACCAAACATCCAAAATGATCCAAACTAAACTGAAACCGAATCGAATGTATTCAGACCCGATTTAGATCCGAATCCGACTTAACCCGGAACCGATTAGACCTGAAACCGTTTAGACCCGAAATTGATCAAAGTTATGAATATTTCATTTATCAAATGAACTTGGAGAAAAAAGAATTTCCGATATATTTTTACACATGTTGATGTGTTTCTAAAAAAATATTTAAATTATAGGTGCAAACCATGCAACTACTTTCATGTACAAAACTTATACTCCGTATTTTATAACTTAAGTTAAAGTATTTTTGTATTTTATCGTCTTCGAACTTAAAATTTGACCAACATTGTCTCTTCAAATATATTAGCAAAAAATATTAAAAATACTCCCTCCGTCCCCCTGTATTTGTCCACTTTCATTTTTACACACCATCCAATGCACTTCTTTAATCCATTTTATCTTGTAATTTGTTTATTAAAGAATTATAAAAATTATATATTAATAATCTATATGTTAAGATAAATCAAACAAGATCACACATGACTATATTTAGGCTTACACATTGAGAGAATTTGATGAGTCAAAGTGCTTAGATGAACAGTTCCAAAAGTCAAATGTGGACAAATATAGGGCGACGGAGGGAGTAATACATTTAAAGTGCTTTTTAATACCAACAATTTGGTAATAACTTTTACTCTGTATATTTTAATTCATTATATTATTTTTTATATATAGTTATTCAAATATTTGACACACAAAGCGAAATGGACAGTTAAATAAAAATAGAGGAAGTACGAAGTAGAATGTTAACTTAAAAGGTCGCGCCGAAAACTTTAGGAGGGAAACCTTTAGAATGTAACAATTAGTCCATTATGTAAGTGTTATTTTTTATGTACGTCCGTGTTAAATAATAAAATAACTACGAAGTATATCATACATTGACTAAATTTATTATGCGATATTATTGATTTATTAGTATATATTAAAAATATAAATGAAACAATATAAACCTAAACCAATACAAACCCGAATCGATATAAACCCAAACCGATACAAACCCGAACCGATATAAACCAGATCCGATATAAACCCGAACCGAAACCAAAAACAAGTCAAACCGAAATAAACTCAGAACCGAACCGACCCGAACCGATTATAACATATATTCGAAAGAGACCCGAACTGGAACTGAATCGATTGACCCGATTGTCAAGTCTAATGACAAGTGTGTACTTTATGGTAATATAATAATATATTTTATTATTACATGTATATCTGAAAAGAGGAAATATTAAAGTCAACATAATATTTCTTATATTTAATTTTGAGATTAGAAAATTTTCAGACATTAATATGTAAACCAATTTGACTAACTGTATACAAAAATATACAATGAATAAAAGTATAAAACTATACCAAATTATTGATATAGAAAATTTTTGAAACGTATGGTTTTTAATATTTTTTCTCATATATTTTAAGAGATATTGTTAATGCAAATTTTAAGTTTGAAAAGTGAACTGAACAATTAAATATGAATACATGGAGTATAAATTTTAATTTAAAAGTCATCTAAATATTAAAAATGGGACGAAAAACAAAAAGCCTTAATTTTTACGGAGTGATTATTTACAATTAGGCTAATTGTATCATTAGAAATACGATGATTAATGAGTATTAAAAAGAAACAATTACTCCCAGGTACTTTCTATTTTGTGAATAGAACTGCCAGGTCCCATTAATTTTAGAAATGTACTGTGAGGTCCTGTAGTTATCTAGTACTCCCTCCGTCCCAGGGTATTTGTCCACTTTCTTTTTTACACATCATCCGATGCACTTCTTTAATCCATTTTTTCTTGTAATTTGTATATTAAAAAATTATAGAAATTATATATTAATAACCTATATGTTAAGATAAATCAAACAAAATCACACATGACTATATTTAGGCTTACACATTGATAGAATTTGATGAGTCAAAGTGCTTAGATAACAGTTCCAAAAGTCAAAAGTGGACGAATATAGCGGGATGGAGGTAGTAATTAATTGAGGGGTACATTCTGTCAAAGCCACCGTTAATTACAGCCTCTCCGCAACCTTCTTTATTAATAGCATTTGAAATTCCAAATATAACCCTCAGTCCTCTTCTTCAAGTACTCTTCTTCGTACTCTTCTTCAAGGATACAGTAGAGGAGGCGCAGACATTGGGAACTAGGGTTTTTTACTAGAAGGAGGTGTGTGCGAATCAAAACAAAAAAGGTACGGAGCTTCTTGTTTTGTTTGTGCTTGTTTTATTCTTTAGGCATTCCAAAGTCTTAGAATTTATACGTGTTTCGCTTTGTGCTTTGTTTCCATGGGTTTTGATGATCGGTGTTGGTTGTTTACGCTGTGTCCAGGTTGAATTGCATTTGATGTTCCTTAGTAATGGTTCAAAATAGGTATGTTTATAGTACTTAGTTTTCAAAGCAAAATTGCTGAGTTATTGTTGATAAAGTACAGAAACTGAATCTGTGTTTGCTTACATTTTGACAAATCTGCTAAAGAATTGTTGGGTTTTCCTCTATCAAATTGCTTCTTGAGATTTCTGTTATTTTAGAATTCTGATTTTTGTTTATGATCTATATGGTTTTTTTGTATAGTTTTGGAAGTCGCTCGGTCCCCTCCTCAAAAAGAGTTTGTGATTATGGTGAATAGTTTGAAGTGCCTACTTGTAGGTGTGGCAAGGACATGAAAATGCTAACAACGTGGACCAAAAGAAATCCTGGTAGAAGATTCTGGACGTGTGCGGGAAATGTGGGTGAAGTTTAATTTTTTTTTTACATTTTAGTGTTGATTTATTTGTTTCATGTGAGTAATGTAAGTTTGTGTTGAATAGGGTACCCGTAAATGTAGGAGCTTGGATTGGATTGACCCTGAAATATGTGATCGCGCTAAGAAGATCATTCCCCGGGCTTCTAGATAAGATCAATGAAAAAGACAAAGAGATGGAGCACCTAAACATGCATAATAAACAGAAGAAAATGAAAGATGTCATCCTGTTGAGGATTCGTCGTGCGGTCCAAAACAAATAAAAAATTTATAAATAACCTTAGCTAACCCCCAAAATATAGTCAAATAAAAACTATAGCTTGGACAAGCAAGGGTCGATCCCACGAAGAAAGATTGTACTTTTTGAAATCAAATTAGCATGCAAACACATTGTCACTAAAAAATAAAATTAACTACTACACATATGATATAACGTATAAAACTTATAATAAAACTTATAACTAAATAAATATAAAAACTTATAAATATAACTTATATAAACAAACACTTATATTATAACTTAGTAAAAAAACTACTCTTATAAACTAAAACAATATAACAAAAGGGGGGATGTTGGATGAAAAGTAAATATTTTTTTTCAATTTTTTATTTTTCTTATTTTTTGGTTTCTTTGATAAAACGGGGGAATACAAGCTTTAAAGATAGATAATCAACTTTTCCAACTTAGGTAATCCAAGAAACACCGCCAAAAACTAGAAACAAAATTAAAGAGAATGAACACAAATCGAACATTACACGTATAATAGGCACACAATATATTACGTAATTTATGCACTTAAAAATAGAAAATAGTTCAAAGGCTCAAGTTGAATCATATCATTGACCACATATAGAGGATCATCAACTCTCTATAAGGCTCGAAGTCATGTAATTCAAAGGCCTTTTGGATCACTTTGAACCCCAACTCCCCTCAAGCGCTTAAACAATGATTCCAAAAATGAAAAAGTCAATAAGCGAGTAAATCTTTCTTTCATTCTAACTCCAATGCATAAATTATCCACGAAGAACATTTATACACTTTAATAAACTTTAACGTCTAATGATAAAAATATTTTGCAGGTCTCTTTGAACAACTCAAGCATAAGAACAATCACTCAATAACGAATTGTTTTTGTACATAAACAACTTTAAATTTTATGAAAATAACAAACAAACACACGATATAACAATCACTCAATAACGAATCTTAAGGAAAACGACCAACTTAAGGGACTAAGAAGTTCATCAACCTTAAAATTTTACAAAACACATAGCACAACAAAAAAAGCACTTATGAATTTGAAAATCATTTAACTATAATATGGAGCTAAAATAATTTCAATGAAAAACAAATTCCACAAACCAACCTACTTATGAAATCAAACCGTGCAATTCAACCAATTCAACAACAATTTGCACAATATTTGAAGAAAACTAATATGAATCAATTTTCATTCATAAGGGATTTAATATAAACATTAAAAAAATCTCATAAAAGAATACCAACCATTTTGGAATTTTCGAAATTAACACAAACAAACAAACAAAAATGTAAAAATTAAACTAAAAACAACACTTTACAAAGAATTGGAGAATAAAAAGAAATTGACAAATAAGGGTTACCAAGTTTATTGAAGAAGATGATGAAAATTGAAGAGTTGGAGCTTGAAGGAGACTGCCCACCGGAGCTGCTGCCGCCAGACGCCACCGCCGACCACCATCGTCGTCGGACTTGTCCACCGGTCGCCACCATAGCAGCGGCCATGCCGCCGCTGCTTTATTCTCGTCGTTATTCCCCGTAGTTCCCCCCGTTGTTCCCTCTTTTGAAGCTTTAATCCATCACCATTTTATAGCAAGATAGAGCTTTTTACCGTTGAATTTTCGCCCCTTGGAGGCTTGGTTTCCGCGGCCTGCTCTTGCGGTCGAAGAAGAAGTCGGAGATCCCCTTTTTCCTTGGGAGATGGTAGGGTTGGATACACCATTTATTTCATTTTGTTTTTATTCTTTATTCCCTTCGTCCCCAATTTGATTACAAATTTCGGGTTACGGAGTAAAATTTTCTATTTTTTGAAATCATTTTATTTACAAATTGGTATATCAATAAAATAAAAAAATTACATACCATATTAAAAAACTACGTCAAAAGTTCTACAAAACAAGAGGTGAAAAGAATATTTAATTTTATCAAATACTTTATGAAATTGCGCAAACAAACAAAAGTTATCGAGAGGAGAGAAAAAAATTGTAATCTATTAGAGACGAAGGGGTATTTATTTTTTGAATTATACATGCCTTTATTTGTGGTTATGGAGGGGGTGGGATATTTGGGGTACACTTTTGGTGTACCCAAGCATTTTCCTTTTTTCTTTCATGCGATGTACTCCCTCAGTCCGGGAGTATTCGTCCAGTTTTGACTTTTGGAACTGTTCATCTAAACACTTTGACTCATCAAATTCTCTCAATGTGTGATGGTGTAAATTATCGACCGGTATATCGTTTTTAGCCCGGCTAAAACGATAAACTAGTCTAAAAAATACACCAAACTATAAACACGAGGATTTTTACGTGGAAACCCAAATCGGGAGAAAACCACGGGCCTTTTTTGGTAGTACCTTGCCAACGGGGGATTTTTATTAATATCGGGGGTGTATACACGGTACATGATTTAGGCATAGAAGCCATTAATGGAAGCTATGGAAGCTTGAAGCCTCTTTAAAGAAATAAACTACCAAATTTCTAGAGAGAGAGAGGAAGTTGGCAGGGGAGAGTGTGATAGATGGCCTCCCCTTTCACATTGGGGGCACCCCTCCTTTTATATGAGGGAGGAGGAGCATCTTCGGGGAATATTCTCTTATTCCTCCATTTAATCAAACAAGCCCGGTTTGACTGCTCTTCGTAAATAATTGGGAAATGTGGGCCGAGCCACACATTATTTCCCATCAAGAAGTCCTCCACTTTTTTAAGTTGTGAGAATCATCAAATTGAAAAAGTAAACAAGTCCTCCGAGTGCTATCTTCAATCTTGGTACTTTGGATTCTTGACCGGTTGATATTATTGTTAGTCCTCCGAGTCTTCATTAATTCTCTAATTTCTTGAATCAGAAGTTTTTCCTGCAAAAATAATATGTACACATTTTTTTTGACCGGCCTATGCCATGCTCAAAAAATTAGTATTTCTACCGAGGAGCTCGGTGTTAGGGTGATTAAATTTCGTGCGAATAATTATCGTAACCAGAGCGATGTTAGTTCGATAAAGCAACGATGCTTCGAGTAGTTATACGACAACGGAGTTAGTACGATGAAGCGACGGTGCCTCAAATAGTTACTTCGTCGAGACCGATGTTAGTACAAATTATGTAAACGATGCATGACGAAATTAGTATACAGACGACATCGACGTTAGTTAATAAGAATTGAGTACGCAGCAGCAGCTTTGTTGAAGATCGATTCTTGCCCGGCTAACTGATGCAAATATCTTCGTGTCATGTAAAGACCACTTCTGGAGTGCCTTGTTCAAAGGGCCAGAAGAATCAGGCGTCCCCGATAAGGGCTCAGCTGAGACACCGGTGTACCCAATTCGATTGGGTCCAGACTTACGAGAAAATATGTGCAAGACCGGTGTGTATATCATTCTTGGCCTGTCTCGCGCACAAGAATGATATTTACCAGCGTGCCAGGCCAGGCCTGTGTCACATATTTTAATATTTTTTTATTATACTGAGCAAGACCGGTGTAGTAACCAGCGTGCCAGGCCGGGCCTGTGTCTCAGTCTTCCTCTTTTTTTTAATACTGAGCAAGACCGGTGTTGTAACCAGCGTACCAAGCTCGGCTTGTGTCTCAGTCTTCCCTCCTAATTTGTCCAAAAGGCATGTGTAAATACCCAAATTATTGCTCCATAGTACTTGTGCAATATTAGTGGTGGGACCCAGATTTACAAAAGTGGGAGAACTTATCCCTCCCGTGGTGTCCTTTTGCAATGCATGCATTCCAACTTGTCTGTGGTGGCCCATTATGAAATATATGGGGTAACCTCCAGGACACCCCACCATCTCTCTCTTCAATTTGGACGGAAGCTACTGGATGGGATTCTCCAAGAATCTTTAGCCAATACTCTGCATCTCTCCACATGATCTGTCTCTGCATCTCATCTTTTCAAAACTTGTATTCACATTACTGTCTTGACTTGAGGTAGCTCTCAACTCATTGTTTTGAGGTGTAGAGGCACCAGCGCAGGACCACTCTTATGATGTTAATCCTCAAGAAAATCTCAATGATTGGTGAGGTGAATTAAGTGGACTTCACACTGTAACATCAGGGAAAACCTTTCAGAAGCAAATCCTTGGGCAGCGGTGATTATGGAATCCGACGGCGGGCACCCTGTGACCCAATTTCTTGCATTGTCACGAGACCGACCAAAAACAGGGTCCAGACTCCAGAGCATGGCGATGGAGGGGCTCTGGGGGTGACCGTTGGATGAGGCGGTGGGTCATTGCGAAGAAGCCTTGGGGAGCCGAATATGGGGCGTCGGGCTCCGCTGGGAGAACAAGAACCGGTTCCAGGATCTTGGCGGCTTGTGACGGCAGACAAATTGTCGGAGCTCAATGACTGGTGGCTTCTTGCAGCGGAGTGCCGTAGAAGTGGAATCGGTGCTGATAGGGTGTTGGCAGAGAGGGAAAATCTGACCTTGAAAGAATAGCTCGTCGGCAAGACACATCTCTGCCCCTAGAAGAATAGCTCGTCGTATTGCTTTAATTCACCCAAGTTGAAGGCAGGGCAGATCGAGTCATGAGTCAGAAATGGTGAGCGGGCGGCAATTTTGAAGAGTGGTGATGGCGGCTGCGGCGGACAAGCTTTTGAACTAGCGATGATGACGACGCATCTCGGGAGCAACAACGGGGGTCTTCATCGGCAAGGCCATCAATTTTAGGCAACGGCGGTTGCAATGCCGACTGCTGGCGCGGATGAAGCTAGGCTGCAACCATGGATGGCAACAGCGCTCTGGTGCTACGGCGAGGACAGTGTTGGACGGCCGGCGGTTCCGGGTAAAATTCACCATGAGCAGCGTGGTGGACTTCCCCAGGTCGATCTGTCGTGCGTTGGCGGAGGGAACTCGTCTTCTCAACTGTGGTGGTGGTCACTACAAAAAATTTGACTTTTTGTGGCACCAAATTTTGCCACAAAACATAAAAAATTAGCCACAATAACAATTTGTAGCAATTTAGGAATTTGCTACAAAGTTGCTACAGATATCCCGTTACAAAAAGTATTTGTGGCAAATTTAACTTTGACACAAAATATAAGGTTTTTGTGGCAAATTATGACTTGCCACTAATAAAACTTTGCCACAGAAGCTCATGTTTAGTGGCAAATTTCAATTGCCACAAATTGTAATTTGCCACAAAAGCTAATGTTTAGTAGCAAATTTATGTTGCCACAAATTACACTGTCAAAAAAATCACATTTAGTGGCAAATTTTAATTGCTACAATTATAAATTAATTATGGCAAACCTAATACTAGTGCTAGTTTATAATTGTGTCAAATTAAATTTGCTACAGATTTTTTATTATATTACATTTTCTCTTAAATAAACAATTTTATTACAATAAAAATAGAAAGATACAAGGGCATGTTGTACGTGTAATGCCAAAACTTGGGTACAATAACCTAAAGCCATGAAATGACAAATTTTCTAAAGTATCAGTAGTTACATTACAAGCTAAAAAGCTTAAAACCACTCATGCTTTCCAAAGAGTGGAGATTTGATAAGCTCCAGTCCTTCTAATGCTCTTTTGGTGCTGTCCAAAACCTCTAGAATGTGCATTTTTTTCCTCATCCATAGCATCACATTGTTTTATCCACAAAGGGCTCTCCTCCAACACTTTGCCTAGTTTTTGATCAAGAAAATTTTCATATCTGCATATTGAGAAACACCAATAATAAGTCTTCTATCTTTTTAGTGGTTGGTTATAGTAGTTATATTAGTAACAATGACAGTTGCCAACAACAAGAATGCATAATGTTTTTTTCATCTCCAACATAGACCACCTAGAAAATTGCATTTGTAGTATTAGATTATATTGGATACATCATTAATGGCTAGGATAAGTTAAGACCTCAATCAAGTAGAACAAAATCCATTATATGCTTAAACCATGCATCTAGAAGCCAATCGAACAAAATGGCATTAAAGCTTGAGAAAAAACTAGATTAGAAACACTGGGAGGTAATAGAGTAGGTAAAACAGACCTTGGTTCCTTCCAAGCCACCAACGTGTTCAACGATGGTAAGTGCACCGACCATGATTTGACATTGGTGGTTGCAATTTGTTAATCTATTGACAACAGGAACAATGGTATACTTGGCTAGGTCAAGGATGTTCTGTGAACAAATATACAAGTACCATAACAATTGAGCCACATCAATTCCCTGAGCATCAGCTAATGGTAATGAATGCGACTAATGTGTTATAACAAAATAAGAGAATGTGACTAATGGTTCAACTATCACAAGAAAACCAAAATGGAACTCATTAGCTTACTTAATGAGCACACACATATTCCATGGATGGCTTTGCAAAAATCATTGCCATACTCTTCCCTTTGAATGGCTGAAATGACATGTCTCCTGATTTAAGCAAAGTCTTAAGCATTTAACCTCTTGTGCACGGTCTAAGATCTTCAAAATCGTAGCATTACCTTATCTGATTTTGCTGTCAGACAAAGTACACATAAGAATATCAATGGATGAATTTAAGCAAAGATTAGAAATATCATTATAATCCTCTAGGAAGTAAGAGGTGAATGAAACCCCGACACAATTATTAAGAACAAACAGAAATATACTGATATAGTTACTACAGCCAACCTGTCAAACGACAATTTATTTATTATCTAGTCTAAAATGCGAATTTAGTTCAGAGTTTTCACACAAATACAAGAGATACAACGAGATAGAAAAGCAAACATGAGATGGTGTTTACCTGTGCATTTTACTAAAAACTAGGAGTGCAAGATTACCGGATCCAAGAGTACTACAGTGAAGGAAGATGTAATCTTATCCTAGTAGGTTTAATAAGGGGTTTAATCTATAACTGTTAATTGGCAGGTGTTTATTATTATTCAAAACTCAAACACATACGCCAATTACAGGGAAACATATAGATTACATAAGTTTCACCTTTGATGTGTCTATGATATTTAGGCTAACATTATGCTAAAATCAACAAAATAGATACTAGAGTAGAACATAATTAAAAAATGAGCAATTAAATTGAAAAATGGAGATGGTAGCAATGAGTGACTGCCCTGGAACAAGTGATTCCAATCGGCCAGCATGGTAGGCCGAAGCTGCTAACCCTGGAGTCATCTCTGTTAATTCCCGCTTTTAGCTCCACGTCGTCATTGGTCATTTGAACCATAGCCCTTGCCTCGCTGCTTCAGTTCCCGAGTTCGTGACGATGGAAAGCATGATAGATCAAGGCAGGACTGGTTGTTCTCCTTTTGAGTTTTTTTATCCATAGCCTAGAGAACTATACAGATAATAAATATCAGGGATCTCCTTGAGTCCTTCCTCTTGTACTGCCTTTTTAAATAGGGTGCAGAATCCTTGTGAGACCGAACGGGATCTATTAGATCGTTTGATACAATCTATAAAAGAAAATGAGAATGTTATAAAGAGTTAGTTATCACAATAGAATCGCAAAAACAACTATTATGAAGGAAGTTCTTGTGCAAATGATGTTCTCATACAATAACAGAAGATATGTAATCGACTACTAGTCTAAGGTGAAGAAAGTGGCCACTGCCACTAACAAATTCATGAAATAAATCATCAAAAGTTAAGATATGTGAGATATAGCAACTAGTTTGTACGATGAATCCATTTTGTCCATCTTTAGTTAATCTTAATCTTTTAACATGTACTAAATTGGTATATTCATTTAATTAACAATTCATAATAAAAACAAGAATCTTTTTTTTAATTTGAAGAAAAACCATTTGAATTCACTTTAGATTTGCACATGGAAATGATCATATCCAACACATGTCAAAGAAAATGAAATCTTGCAAAAGTATTGTGAAAGAACTAAGATAGCAGTTCAAAAGGAATTGATTAGAAAAAGACTGGACATTACAGACCTAAAAGTATTTAATTTATTAAATATATTGCAGAAAGCATACCTACGAGTTGCACTAACATCAGAAGTTCAACATGTGAAAAGCTAATATTTTGACATGTGGTGACATTTATAATTCCTTGGCAATTTAATATTAGAAGCTAACATATCAACTGCTTAATTAGTATACTCCCACAGGATGTCAAAGCAAGTAGATTAATAGAACTTTAAATAAACAATGACTACTTCATTATATCCAGATCCAAAATTGAACATTTACAATGTCCATATTGTTATAATTGCATGATTTTCAAGATAATAATGATCCAAATTCCATTTTGATATAGAAATCCCCAAATTTTCAAGGATGAACCCTAGGTCGTGAATCCACAAAAATTTAAGCAAAAAAACTGTACTCTTTGAACAACACAGGATATACACAACACGTATGGTAACCTAAATAAAGATACGCATCTAAAATAGAAGAAATGTCCAGTACCTCTCTTAAGCATGATGCCCTGGTGGCCGGTTGAGGGAGAAATCGGCAAGTGACTCTAGTGAGATATAATCAACGTACTAAGATGATGTTGCGATTCGCGAAGCACGAAAGCACAATAGATGTTCCGAATCAGATAAATGCTCGGATTGAGATTGGAGAGGAAGCAGTCGATCGGCACCTGTTGAAAAAAACGAGCGAGGGAGGTGAGGGTTCTTTTTTGGAAGAGAAGTGAGGGTTAGAGAGGGAGACACAGAGAACGGAAAAAAACTACTCCGTATTCTTTAAGAAGTACTCCGTAATAACTTTATTTCCTGTAATGGTATAAAAAGTATGTATTTTGTATATAGTAGCAATTTTATAAAATTGCCACAATAGATAAATGATTTTGTGGCAAATTTCTAATTGCCACAAATTATTATACAATATTTGAATTTTGTGGCAATATTATAATTTGCTACAAAAAGTTAGCCACAAAAGATTAGATTTTTTGTAGTGGGTGTATTGGCCGGAAGTCAGGCTGCGGCAAGGATGGCGGCAGTGGCTATGGCGACGGCAACGATGGACTCCGGAAGGTGAGAGGAAGGGTAGATCTCGATCTCCTGTAGCTCTGGGGTGCTGATTTCTTCCTTTTTTTGCTTTTGCAATGTGGGGGAAGAAAAAAAGTTGTGCTGCATGGACGAACACACTACTCTTTTCCCGTGACTACTCCTCAGTGGGGAGTTTCCTCTCCCCTTTTCTTTTATTCCTCTCACCATTTTTTTGTACATAAGAGATATACAAGATTTTGTGGTACTTCATGGGCAAGATTTCGAGTCCCACGGGTGGCGCCAAAATGATGGTGTAAATTATCGACTGGTATATCGTTTTTAGCCCGGCTAAAACGATAAACTAGTCTAAAAATACACCAAACTATAAACACGAGGATTTTTACGTGGAAACCCAAATCGGGAGAAAACCACGGGCCTTTTTTGGCGGTACCTTGCCAACAGGAGATTTTTATTAATATCGGGGGTGTATACACGGTACATGATTTAGGCATAGAAGCCATTAATGGAAGCTATGAAAGCTTGAAGCCTCTTTAAAAAAATAAACTACCAAATTTCTAGAGAGAGAGGAAGTTGGTAGGGGAGAGTGTGATAGATGGCCTCCCCTTTCACATTGGGGGCACCCCTCCTTTTATAGGAGGGAGGAGGAGCATCTTCGGGGAATATTCTCTTATTCCTCCATTTCATCAAACAGGCTCGATTTGACTTTTCTTCGTAAATAATTGGGAAATGTGGGCCGAGCCACGCATTATTTCCCATCAATGTGTAAGCCTAAATATAGTCATGTGTGATCTTGTTTGATTTGTCTTAACATATAGATTATTAATATATAATTTCTATAATTTTTTAATATACAAATTACAAAATAAAATGGATTAAAGGAGTGCATTGAATGATGTGTAAAAATGAAAGTGGACAATACTTTGGGACGAAGGTAGTATTAGATTAAAGGAGTGGTGGGCTACTTTTTGACAATATTTGGGTTCCTGTCCAAATTCAATCTCTTCTTTTCAAATTTGAATTGCGTTCAGGCTTTTTGCTACATTTTTTTTTCAAAAATAAGACATCTAATAATTTGGGTTAGAAAAAATAAAATAAAATACCAAAATGTAAAAAAGTGATTAAAAAAACTACAATTTGTGCAAGAAATTTAAAATATTGTAAAAATCAAAATTAAAATAAAACTAAGCAAAACAATTAAAAAAACTCTAAAAATATTAAAAATATCAAACAAAGAATAAAAAGAACCAAATCAAAATCGACGTATCACATCCCATTTATGTTTGGGTTGGGTGTAGGACTTGCCATCCATTATGTTTTCTTTGTGTTGTTTATGTAAATTTTAGAAGACAAGACTTTGGCTAGGAATTAAATTTCAACCTTTGTCTATGATTTGGCTGTGGCGGCACTTGTCCTCCTTATCCCTATGAATGTTTTGTCTATGTAAAGGAGGTGTGTGTCTTGGTTATGTAAGCCTAGTTTTTGTTTTTTAATTGTAATGTATGATGTACTATGGAAGTAATGAACAATGTTTTGTACACAATGTTTCTGTTTACAAATGTGACAATAATAATATTTCTTTAAACAACAAAAGTATCTACCAAATTGTATGCCATATATGGTCTGCCAAACACTGGTATGCCAAAATGTGTATATAATGAAAAACAACACTGTGACATTTCAACACTCCAGTATATAATGAAAAACGTAAGTGACAAAAACAAATCTGGAGTATGGTATGCCAAAATGTGTAGCTCCACTACCACCATTTCAAAAACTATTTCAGAAGCCAAAAACCAAAAATGACAAAAACTATTACAGAAGCCAACACATGTTCTTGGCATATTTAAACTAACAAAAACAAAATTACAGTCAATGAATAACATGTCTTCAAACACACCCAATCTCAACATTTCTAATCATTCTTGGCCACTTTTTTCTTTCTTGTCTGTTTGTGCACCAACATGCCATCTTTATCCCTCTTTTGACCACAAGTTTTATGGTTATGGCCTAGCTATTTGCACTTCCCACATCGTTTTGTTCCATGAATCATCCTCTTTTGCTTTATGACATTGTCATCAATCTAATCTCTTCTCTTGTGTTTTTTAAGTCTTTCCTTTTTCTTTAGGTTTTTTGGAGGGTCAAGTTTGGGTTCTGAAGTCTATCCCCAGATGCAAGGATATCACTACAAGAAAAATTGGCTATAATGACACTATCTAAGGACACATAATATAAAAAGTGTCATTATTAGTTATTTATGACACCTTTTTAATTTAAGATCCAAGCCCACAAGTCTGACGAACAGAGTCCAAAGCAATCCACTATTGACCACCCTTAGAATCAGATCGAAATGTCGAGCTCCGATTTTCTCTCTTACTTTTACAGACACGGTTAGCGTGAGAGAGGGACGTCGCCTAGAGGAAGAGCCAATTCCGGGGTTAGGGTTTACTGTTTAGTGCCTGACCCCTCGCCTTATTTCCGATGGAGGAGCGACGACGTAGCGACGGTCTAGAGCGGCTACCAACGGGAAGCTGACGACAATTTAGTGACGAGTCCAATGCCAAACTAAAAAAAATTCTGTATCCATGCTTGTTTGGTGGTATAATCTTCAAATTAAAGTTTTTCTTTATTTGCTTCTTCCTTGTTTAGGTTTTATTTTGTTTGTTGTCTATTTTAATACTATTACTCATGCTTTAGTGCTTGAACAGATCTGAAGTTGGCTTTTGATTATGTTGAAACATTGATTTTATTCTATTTCGAATCCAATATGTGTTGTGTAATGTGTGTTTGTTGTGTTGTTATGTTGAATCGAAGCATTTTTACTCTTTTATTTGATGTCAATGAAGCTATGAAATTTTCTTTTATTATGTGCCATGTTTTTTAGGTTCTAGTTAATGGCATGAATTTTATGGGGGTAGAGAAAGGGTTTATAGAGATGGTAGTTTGCATTTGTTGTAGTTGAACAGATCCAATTGGGGATCTTTTTTTGTTTTGAATAGATGATGTGTGTCTTGTTTCACTTGGTATTCATGTTTGTAATGATCTAGGGCTGTATCTTTACCATTTGATTTTTAATTGAGGTTTTATGTGTTATCAGATGTTTGCCTTCAGATTGTTGACACGCCTATAATGTTTTTGGGAAGACATTCTTGAGAGAATTGTTGGAACATTAAAAATAATTTTATTATTGTGACTGCACCTAGAAAAATAAAACATTCTAAGTTGTCTACGTACCCCAATGAAGGGGATCAAGCCACACGTAGTTCAAAACAAGGTTGGTTAAATTAACCGGATAAATCTTCAAGGCGCGTGATACTTGGAAACGCTTTCCTAAAAGTTTCTTATCTACCCTATTATAAGCAACAAGGGTTACAAGATAGAACTTTTGGGATACAATGAAGAAGACCAAATTGTTCAGTTGCTCTTAGAAACAATTTGTTAATGTACTTTAACGAGACTTGTCTCGAGACAAAGGAGACAAAAAAACATAGAAAAATACACTAATTAATATTTCATCATCATAGAATAAATATAAGAAATAAATACATTATTTCTTCATTATTCTAAATAATCAATGAAATAATACTTAATAATAAATCATTTTTCTAACATAATTTTTCCCTCACTTTTTGCATTGTGACATGGGCCCTATTTATAGAAAATAATATGCCCCTTTATAAATGATCATGTCTCTTTTGTAAGAGACACACTCATTTAATTAAACACTTCCAATTTAAATTCAAAATAAATATTCAATAGTTATGTCATTTAAGAATAAACATGTCTCTTCAAAGAGTTGTGCCCATTTATTTAAAATTCAATTTTGAATTCAAAATAAATCTCCAACAAGAATTGCCAATTGCTCAGGTTATATATTTTTCTAACTATATATAGAACTATCTTAATGTGTTTAAAACTTTTTTTTCACATTATTGGCTTTCTTAATATTCTTGTTGATGACAAATTTCCATGGATATGAAGTTTTCTTGCATATGAATTTCATACTACCTCCGTTTGGAAAAAAGTGTTCTTATTTTGACTTTGTGTAAAAATAAGGAAGTATTAAATTGTAGTTGACTTCCAATTTTGCCCTTGATGTGATAGGTAAAAGTAAGATGTGATGGATAGATTATTAGAGATAAAGTATGATGTGATAGGTAGGCTATGAAAAAGTAAGGGTAAAAGTGATTTTTTAATAGAAAGTGGAAGTGTTTTGTTGGAAGTGAAAAAAATGAAAGAGGATGTGTTTTAAAAAACGGAAGGAGTATATATTTTGCAGTGCAAGGCCTAGATGAGTTTAGCTGCAACTTTCAAGGTCTAGCTAAGGTTTATATGAGTATATGATTATTGAAGGAAGAAGATTTACTTACTTTCAAAGTCTATTTTACTTTCAATAGAGGGTTTAACTTCATTTTTCAAGGAGGTCTATTTTACTTACTCGGATCTTTTTGGATGGTAGGGAGTAGATACATCATCTCATGGGCGAACAATTGGCTATAATCTTTAGAAGAGACGCTTGTCAATGGAATTGAGGAGTGACCATCGAATCAAACTTTGTGGCATCATGGACTTCAATTTTGCTTTTCTATCTCGTTGTATCTCTTGTATTTGTGTGAAAACTTTGAACTAAGTTGACATATTAGACTAGTTTGTAAAATTAGAACCATTGTACTATATTTGTTGATTAGAATGACAATTAAAATGAGTATATGAAGCTTATTATATTTGTTAAAACATAAGTTTTTTGTTCTAAAAGCAAATAGAGGACATAAATTTGATAGTATCAATGTGTCATATTCTCATATCATTTTTAGGACACATAAATAGTGTCTTAATATTAAAAAAAGAGGACACATATTGGATAAATATTGGATAATATAAGGACACCTTTTGAAGACATTTTTGTGTGTCCTTATAAACAAAAGAAGACACATTTTACGCGTCCATGTTTTAGACTTTCTATGACTCCCAGATAGAGGACGCTTTGGTTAAGTATCCTTGTATCTAATAGATGACTTTTTTTCATGTCCTTGTATCCATTTTTTCTTGTAGTGGATCTAGGTGTATAATAGCATCATACAACCCCTTGTATTTCTCAATTGAAAACCAGTGTGCACAATAGTCCTCTAACTTCTCATTAAGCCTAAGAATGCATCTTGCAGCATGTTTACTAGGTAGGCTTGTCACTTGCCATATGTTACAGTCACAACTATGCTTTCTTAACTTCACTGTGAAATTTGTGCACCCATCAAGTACATCAAACTCCCCTCTAGCAGCAACCACAACCTCTGAACATACTCTTGAGTCCATTGCTAGCTCCCTAAGTTTTTTCTCTACAAAGGAGGTGACTAAAGTAGACTATTTCCTTCCTAGTTCAAACTTTTTTTCAAATCTGTTTCCAACAAGTTTTCTAATCTCCTCCAGCATGGTCCACATGGGCTTTTACATTACCAAATATGGTCTGTACATTACCAAAAAGTATAATAATATGCACATGTACAATGCCACTTTACCACAGTGTGAAATCTTATTTCAGAAATAAAAACATGAAAGTCTTATTTTGGTATTTTTCTCTATGTTCTAGTCTTATTTAAGGTGATTTCTACATGACATATGTCTCTAAAACTTTATTTGATGCAATATAGTCTAGAAATGATATACTCTCTCCGTCCACAAATAAACTTCTCGTTCACTATTGACAAGGTCAAACTTTAATTACTTTATTTGGCTATTTTCATTACCCATTTGAAAAAAATAATATAGTCATGTCACCTCTAGTTTTGTAGATCTTTTGAAATAATTTTTTAATATGTACGGAGTAATTTTTATTTTAAAATTTCACACCATTTTTCATATAAAATATTTTAAAAATAACTTCAGTCAAACATCGCAACGCGCAACGAGAAGTTTATTTGTAAACGGAGGGAGTAATATTGAATGTCACATCATTAGAATATCATCATTACTTTTGCCATATGAAAGAACAACTCATTCACATTAAAAAATTCTGTTAAACTCAGATGCAAACTCAACTTGCCACATAAAGCAAAAAACTCTACTACCAAGTTAATTTTATTGGGATGAAGCACTAATGATATACTCCCTCCGTCCTAAAACTTTCTTCCCACTTCCCCTTTTTCTCCGTCCTAAAACTACCTTTCCATTAGAAAAAAAGATGACAAATGACATTAATATCCTCATGTATTTACACCAATTATCTTCTAACTCTATATTTTGAATGATTGCAAAAAACAAATTCTCAAAAAATCTTTTTTAAGGAGGGTAAAATTTGAAGTCAAAGCCAAAAATTAAAAATGGAGAAAAGTCAAACTGGGAAGAAAGAATTAGGACGGAGGGAGTAATATTCTACTCCGTATGATTTTTCAATCCAATGAATAAAAATCAAACATTCGGATTAAAAGTAATTGTGTTTGGGGGGATTTTCGTTAAATATTGCCAGTAATCCTAAAATGAAACAGATAAGATAATTACTAATTCAACGATTAATTCTTTCTGCATTTGGATATATATCACTTTGTTGCATTTAACAAAAAAATGAGGTTGCAAGCAAAAGTTCATGAGTACCAATGTAGTTTATAAAGAAATTTTTTAAAATTTGCAATTCATGCTATAGAGTTTTATATTTCATTATGTAGTCTATTTTTATTTTTCAATAATGACATCAATATAATTTTATAACGTAAATATGACCCGTGTAACGCACGGGTGTGATAATTAATAAAACTGATTAAATATAGGTACAGCTGATTGTGCAGAGTGTTATACAGGGAAACCAACATAAACAGACACGACGCCATGTTTCAAGTTTCAACAACATAGAGTGTACCCCAGAATGAACTTAACAAGTTTCTAGTGTCAAGTATGGGTTCAAGTACGAAGAGTAGGAGAATGGTAAACATGGCTGCAATCTAGAATGAACTAGTTTATCTGTGACCTTGAGCTTGTTGCATATTATATGCACCCCAGGGAGTCTGCCCAGGTCCATATTGAGAGTAACCTTCAGCTCCGGCCTGCGACTGAAAATAAAAGTAAAGCTCATAAACCAATAAAATAATTTGATTATATCAAAAGAACCGAGAACCAATGTTTCAAAAGGAGTTTTATGACATAACCATTCAATAACATGTTCTTGTGCAAATCTTAACATTCTTAAGAATAAGAAAAAAATGGGTCCTCATAGATCACAGGATTTTAAGGTCCATCTTGCTAAAGAAGTTATTCAATGATCATTCCATTCTAACTTTAGCAAACCTTTTCATTAGAGACAAGCCAAAATGTATACCTGCACAGTAACGGGATGCACAGAATTTGTGGGGTTCAAGCCATAACCACCAGAGTAATAATTTCCACCATAGCCTGCTGACTCTGGATTAGCATAGTTTGTGTTATAAGCAGCAACTGTGGAAAATAGAGCAATGTCAAGCAAGAACAAACCACACCATATTTTTCCCAAAGGCATTTAAAGCTCATGCATGAAAGAAAAGTCACCATGGATGCAAAACATGGACTTCCAAATTCGTTTACAAAATCTATGAATCGTTCAAAAACACCAATCAATTTGAGGATATAATGATATACACTATAACTGTTGTTCAATATGAAAGCATATTTGTTATACGGAATTTTATTTATAAAAAATGCTAATACATAATTTTGATAAAATAAATCCAAGAATATTGTTGAGCAATTATTTTTCAT